GATTTCTGCTCTAATCTTTATGTTCCTTCTGCTTAGTTTTCGTTGTCTGCTCTTTGTTTTTGGTTGTTTTTTCTTCGGGTCTTTCTTTGTTAACATAGGCACTAAGAGCCATGAAATTTTCTCCAGGCACTGTGTTAGCTATTCTGTGTTGTGCCGTGTTTTCATCTTCATCCGGCTCACAGTGTTTTCTAAGTTCTCTTGGAATTTCTTCTTCAACCCGTTGGCTGTATAGAAGTACCTTGTTTATATCCGTAGATGGTGGTAGATTTCCCAAATAGCCTCCTGTTTTTTATTTCTAACTTAATTTTGTCATGGTCAGAGAACGCACTTTATCTGATTTTAGTTCTTTAATATTTTCGATCCTTGTTTTGGGATCTGGCGTATAGCCTGCTGTTTCCAGGAGGGTGTCCCCATGTGGACGTCAGCAGGTAGGTGTTGTCGGGTGGGTCTTCCAAAGGTAAAACATAGTTATAATAAATTGTTGATTTTTAACTCTTTTTTGAATTATTTTCTTAGTGGTTGCTCCATGGAAATCCTTTATTATCCATTATTTTGTGTGTTTTTACTTCTATGCTCAGTTATCTTTATGGACTGGTCATTATACTTGAACACTCATCTGTGGAGTTAATTTAGGCCTTGAATGAAACCCTTCCCCTCAGAGATCTTCCTGGGACCCTTGTAATCCAGCCTCGGGGCCCCTGTCCCGTCAGGTGACGTGTCATCCACCCCAACCCTGAGAGATGGCCCGCTCTGGCCTGAGCTGTAGTGTTGTGGGTTAAGCACGCAGGTCCCCCGCCCCAACTGGAGCACACACGTGGCTCTGATTTCCATTCCCTGCAGCTTTGCAGGGTCATCAGAACATGGCCGGGAATCTCAGCTGCTTCTTATAGGTCAGCAAGGACTCCAGGCAGAAGTGGCTTGTTTCCTGTCCAGGCGAGTGCTTCCGGCAGACCAAGGCTGGCACTTCCACTGTCTTCTTAACTCTCTGCTGCTTCAAGACCCTCACAGTCTCATGTGGCTTTCTTAGTTGATGGTTTGTGTGCTGTCAGTCTGTCACCTCTGCACATGGGGCATGGCGGCATCCTGACCACGCTGGGTCCTGCCCTGGCATGAACAGTCCAGGTGGCACCACACGCACGTGCCGTGACCCCGTGACTGTGGTTTGGAAGAGGCTCTTGGCATGAGGGCTGGGCCGGCTCCTTTCTCTTCCCCGCCCTGCAGACCCTGTCTGTGGGCTGTGCATCCTGAGGTTGTGTGACCAGGCCATTTCTGCGTTTTCAGATCTTTTTTGTCTGAAAGCCAGCATACAGACACTTAACAAAACCCAAAACATCAACTTTGCCTTCCTCTGCAAGGCTCCTCTTGGCTGTAGATGCTTACTTTCTTCCTTCGCAGGGGCCTGTCCTGCCCTCGCCTCCCCGCAGCATCCCCAGCCTCGCTCCCTCAGGACCAGCCTCCACTCAGAAGCTGCTAGACTCAGAGCCACAGGTTCCTTTTAACCGTGAAGTTCTTTGACGAGATTAGTTTTTCTCTACCCAATATTTGTATGGTCAGAAGGAAACAGTGTTTCATTCTGAATTAATGTTATTTTTATAATGTATCAAAATTCTTTCTCACCTGCTTATCACGTGGAATTGTCCACACTTTCAGCGAACAGCGGTGGGGGTCTGGGGCCTCCCTTAGGCTGGGAAAATCGTCTCCAGACACCTTGGGGTCCAGACACTGAGCCTTTTTGGTTCATGCTTGGTAACTCTTCATATCCACCTTTCAGGCCCCTCTCGGTGGTGTCTCAGATTCCAGCTGACTTTGTAAAACTGCCTCCTGGGTTGGGCACGGGCTGGAGCACATGCACCTTGACCAGGGCAGCCCTGCATGGGACGGCACCATGGGCTCGGGCCTTGATGAGAGGTGGCAGGGGCCATGGGCCACGAGCAGAAACATATCGAGGCTTGTTATTAAAACATGTTGCCGCTTTTTATGTGTAATGAAGACCTTTGCATGCTCCCAGCTTTCAGCATGTTTTTCCTCTTTCAAAATGGTCTCGGGAGAAGAGGGAACTTACTTAAAACTTGCGGAGCTGCGGTACCGCCGAGACATTCTGGGCACCTGCTCTGCTGTCACTTTTTGGCTTGAGTGTTTGCTTATTGCGTTCAGCCTCGAAGTTCTCAGCTCATTGCCCGGGTGTGTCAGAGGTGTTCACTATTCAGACCCCAGCAGTGGAGGCGATTCTGGTAAAAGAAGTGATGGGAAACTGTATTAGAATGTTCTTGAGAGCCAAGAATTTCTGGGCAGTTTTGGTTTTTCCTTAGATCCTTGGACCCTCAGTTAATCCTGTGTTCAAATTTTAACCCTGACATGTAATTGCTGTGAGACTTTGGGTGAGTTACGTAGCATCTCCAAACCTTGGTTTCCTCGGCTGCAGAATGGGAATATTGGTTGCTCTGTCTCCAACTATAGGAGATTGTGATTAAAAAAAAAAATATATATATATATATATATATTATATATGTAGTGTAAATGGTGAAATGAGTGGAAAATACAATTTAATCCTAAGACACTTCGTTTGTTCTACAAGTACTTTTGAGGGCCAACCAAATGCGAGAGCTGGGCTGGCCAGCGCGAGGTGCCCCTTCCAGGTGGGCATCTTGGTGCAGTTGAGTAAGTGTGGGACTTGGGGCCTGAAGGTCTATGGCAAGTCCCGGGGCACTCACCCGGCTTTGGAGGAAGCGGGGCTTACCTGAGTCGTGGTGACGCACAGGGTCCCAGGGAGGTCATGCTGTGGGCAGGGAAGGGCCCTGACCCCGGCTTCCTCCCCACCCCCCAGCTTTCCCTCTCGAGTCCCTCCTGGTCCTGCGCTACCTTGTGCCCCACACCAGACCTGACGCAGGAGTCAAGACTGGTTGAGGAAACCCTCAGAAACATGTAGGATTCTGCTTGAGGCCATAGACACGGGGGCCACTCTTCAAGCTTTTGACCACAGGCCTTCCCTTTCAGGGAAGTCTCCCGCTTTGTCTCTGCCCTGCTTCCTTGCTGGGCTGTTTCTGGGAGAGAAACAGGCTGAGGTGTAGCGTGACTTCTCATCCCCCTCACCTCACACCCCTGCTTCAGTTTTCCTTGTGAAGATTCCCGGCTGCGGCTGACCACGCACATGCCTGGAGCCAGGGAAGGAGTCCGTGCTGGGATAGCCGACTTTTCTGCTCTTGTTCTGACAGCTTCTTTCTCCCGGGGTTCCTCTGTTTCCGACTTCATACCTGCACTCGGTTCCCTCCTCCGCCTTCTCCGACCCGGCCTCCTCACAGTAGCCACAGGCTTCCTCTCAGCTTCCTTCCTCCATAGCACAGCACTCACAAGGCCGTTTTCCAGCATTAAGAGATAAACTACAGGTCTTTTAGTTTATCTTATTGTTCAATTTAAAGATAATATCCTCCCAATGACATTATTTTAGTTCTTCTATTTTGTACTTTTCTTACTCTATTTGTGCCTTTAAATAAAACTCTCTGAAATCTTTTTGATTATTTATCAACTTTAAGCACTTCTTAAATTGTGAGATGGCAAAAAACTAAAAATAGAGCTACCCACTCCTGGGCATATATCTGGAGGGAACTCTAATTCAAAAAGATAATGCACCCCAGTATTCCTAGCAGTGCTGTTTACAACAGCCAAGACATGGAACAACCTAAATGTCCATCAACAGGTGACTGGATAAAGAAGCTGTGGCAGGGAACACGATGGAGTACTACTCAGCCATAAAGAATAAACACTGACACTTGCAGCAACATGGGTGGACCTGGAGATCGTCATTCAAAGTGAAGTGAGTCAGAAAGAGAAAGAAAAATGCCATATGCTATCACTTATATGTGGAATCTAAAAAAAAGGACAAATGAACTTATTTACAAAGCAGAAACAGACTCACAGACATAGAAAACAACTTATGGTTACCAGGGTGGGAGAGGGGTATGGAGGGATAAATTGGGAGTTTGAGGTTTGCAGATACTAACTACTATATGCAAAATAGGTACACAACAGGTTTCTACTGTAGATCACAGGGAACTATATTCAATATCTTGTAATAACCTATAATGAAAAAGAACACAAAAAGGAATATATATGTATGTACATGTATGACTGAAACGTTATGCTGTACACCAGAAGTTGACACAACATTGTAAGCTAACTTCAATTTCTAAAATTACATAATACTTCAATTTTCTAAAAATTGCGCAATGGAACATACCTATTGAAAAATACACAGAACATGCATGGATACTTTGAAGATTAATTAGGAGGCAAATACACGTGTAACAACCACTTAGGAAGTAACCGCGTTGCTGCCACCTCACAGGTGCACCCTGTCCCATCACTGCAAAGTCATCAGCTTTCTGACTTCGGGATTACAACTTTGCCGCTTTTCTTTATGGTAGTTTGCATTTTGTGTGTATGCCGTAAATAATCAGGTTACTTTTGCTTGACTTGAACTTTACAGGAATGAAATAGCGCTCCTGCGCCCTTTGGCCTTGCCGCCTCCGTTCGGCGTTGTGTCTGAGATCCGTCTGTGTTGTGTGTCGCTGTTGGTCAGCTCGCCCCTGAGTGGTCTCTGACTGCAGCGATGTGCACAGGTTATCCACGTGTGCTGGTGTCCGTGACATTGGGCATCCCCAATCCGAACAGTGCTGCTGTGAGCGTTCCTGCGTGTGTCTCCTGGGGCGCGCGTGCGAGACTCTCGTGCTCAGCTGGTGAAGTTCCCGGGTCTCGGGGGTCGAGTCTCCACTGTGCCAGATGAGCCCTGCCGCCCTCCCAGCCTCCTCCCTGCCAGCCAGGCGTGCACACTTGCTGGAGTCGTCAGCACTTCCCCTCGTCCGCACCGCAGCCCGGGGGGTCGCACCCTCTGCGACGACGGGGCTGTGGGCTGCAGGGCAGTGTCCGAGGTGCCTGCTCGCTGTCTTTTCCTTGCTGGTTTGCGGGGCCGCTTCCTGTGTCTTCAGGTGTACTCTCTCCTGCAGGACGACGCGATGATGCCGCAGAGGGTGAGGCTACAACACGCAGCTGCTGTGCGACACCCGACAAGTGTAAGTCCAGACTCCCTGGGGCGCGGCCCCGCCTTTCCAAACCTGCCCTTACAGCTTTTTAGATAAAGGCTCTTCCTTAGAGCAGGAGGAACCAGCGTGTGGTCAGACTGATACGTGGCTGGTGTGTCTCTGAATAGTCACAAGTGTTTCCCTCGAAGGAAAGTGCACTTCTTGTTCTGAGCAGCACTTGCTGCTTTCAGATGAGCACACGAGTTGATTTGGTTTAGTTGGATTTTACCAGCATTTCAGAAGCCATGTCCCTCGGACACGAACACACAGGTTGAGAGCTGTAGTGTGAATCAGTTAAAACAAATTACTGTTGTCTCAATGACCTGGGACCACGTTCACCTCTAGAACGGCTTCCCAGTGGGCCCCGCGAGCCAGGCTCTCCAGGGCCCATCCTCCCGGGCACTTGCTGGGTGAGGGAGTGTCTCCCGCCCACTCGGACACCGGGGCATCTCAGCCCAGGGGCCACTTGCCCCTGTGGCTCGGGGTCCAGGTGGCCCAGGTGGCCGATCCCCAGAGCTGGTGTCTGACCACAGGGCCCACTGCTCAGACATCCATGCTGGAGCCTCAGTGAAAACATCTTAGAGTTGCTGTGATGATCACTGGTTTAGAAAGTGGGAGAGAGAAAGGTCTGGAGCTGTCTTGCGGTGAGTGGTGTCAGCTTTCCCAGGGACACCCCTGCTTGCCGCTGACCTTTACCATGGTGCCACGCCCCACCGGGTGCACACACTGGAGCTTTTCCAGGCCATGTGCCTGTGAGCCCCAGGATCTAATCCCCGGTGTCCGTGGGCCTGAGACACTGTGTTTCTCCTGGGCTCCCGGGCACTGTGTTTGGCGCCGACTGCAGGGCTGTGGGGCCTTCATGAAGGAGAGGGCCTGTTTGTTCCTGGGACAGGGCTCAGGGCTCAGAGAGCAGACCCCGTTAATCGTGGATCAAGTGAGCTGTTCAAGACAAAGGCTCAAAAACACACCTCCTTGAGATAGTTTCTCAAGGAGCCTGAAGCACTTGTGTTAGTCCAAGACAAATTCTTTCTTTTCCAATGGCCCCTTACCTTGGAGCTCTGAATTCTGCCCACGGACTCTCTGCTTCTGCGAGATTCAGCACCTTGGTCTCCGGCTCAGCTGCCATCCCACACACACGACTCTGACTGGGGCTTGGCTGCCGGCACCTGGCCTGTCGTGGCACCTGACATGCCCAGGCTCCACTGGGAAGTGTCTCTTCATGGAATAGGTGGTGTCTCACAGCCTTAAGTTTGATGTTGAGGATTCTTATTCCCTGAATTATAAGTGCACTTACATTGCTTAGGTTTAAACATCATTAATGCAAACGTGTCCGTGAAATGCATGTGTGAGAAGGTTGGAAATAGCCTGTCAGCTGCATCTTGAGAGGCACCCCACTGCTCCTTAGGCTGGAAGCTTCCGGGCAGACGTGAGGGAGGGTCGGAAGTCCCCAGTCACTCCTTCCCTGAGAAGTGGCCCCTCGGCCGAGGTAGCGCTGTGGCTGTCGCACTCGTCCTGAGGTCGGATGGCAGGGGCCCGGGGTCACCACCTCGCCGGCTCGTCAGTCCCCCACTGGGTCGAGCCCGTTCTGTGGCCAGGAGGTCAGGAATGGTGGCGACTAGACCAGCCTTTGGGAAGGCCCACAGCCCCTTCTTTGGCCCAACATGCAGTGCTGCGGACCCCAGCAGCCGCCCCCGGTGCCCCCAGGCCCGTCCACAGTGTCTCATAGGCCTGCTCTTCCCAGCCAACACCCCTGGGCGCTGACCAGGGCCTGTGAGTTTGTGTGTGTCCTCACCCTGGCCACCTCCGCCTTCCCATGGGTGGACACTCGAGGCTTTCAGGTCTCAGGGCCACCCCACGTGGGCTGGGCTGCAGTGTCAGCCCCTGTGGGCTGTGCCCACGCCCACGCGAGCCCGTGGGTGAGCCTGCTCTGTGGCAGATCCTGGGGAGAGTGCGCCAAGGAAGTACAGAGAATTGCTGCAGGGGGTCGGCCTCGGGGTGGGGGCAGGCAGGTGTGGAAGCCCGAGGCGGTCTCCTTGGATAACCTCCCTCACCTAAAGCCAAGGCTGTGGACTTCCTTCCTGCCTGCAAACCCCTTCCCAGCAGCACGTGGTAACTGTCAATGGTAGCTTCCCAAGTGGACACCAGACTGACTGTCATGGAGAGGAGGCCTCACATGGCTGTGCAGCAAAGGTCAGAGCTGGAGGCTTGAGCTGCCGGGAACACAGATGGCCCCTTGTGGGTGCTGCAGGCGCCTCCACATGGCTCTGGCTTCCCTCAGATTCTGAAATGCTGGGAAGGTTTAAGAAACACACATGTGTGTAGTCTCTGGCAGCTCTGTTCCTAGCAGCTCTGGCAGCTCCAGAGACTGTCCCTTGTGTTATGCAGTCTGCATGCCTATTGACTGTGCGGATCGAGACTGTCCGTCTGCCTTCCTTCCCAGCTACAGAAGGGACGTCGGTGTCGGGGAAGTGAGCTGCCGCAGTGAGGTGGTCCAGCCTGGGCCCCCAGACTTCTGGGCTTCACTGGGCTGCTCTGTAGGGACCACCAGACCTCCAGAGGGGCTGGTGGGACTTCTCAGTGACATGGAAAGAGAGATTACATGCACAAATAATATTTTTTGGCCTGGTTCCTTTGTTGGGAAGAGATAAAAGGAATGACAAAGGTCCTGGGTGGATTTCTGCTCACAGTTTATGTCTACACGGGAAATTCAGAGACTGGGGTTTCCAGAAATGTCTTTCATTGGCTCTGATAAATGCGATAATATTACATGTGGGAGGGGCAGAGATGGGATCTTAGAAAGCAGCCCCCTTTTTCCAAAGTTTAACTTGCTCTTGACCACCAAGCTAATTGCTTGAGTTAGTTTTCTTTGCTTTAACCTGTTCCTGCTAACGAGTAACCCTGTGGACTTAAAAGTTGAGCAGACCCGTTCTTGGAGTGGGCAGCTGCACTCTGGGTGATAGTCACACCAAGCGTTTAAAATATATTCTACATGGAGGCTTCTGAAGAATTTTGTAACCAGTGTTGCCATTGGAGGGACTGAGATACTTTCAGATACACTGTTTCCCATTTTTTTCATGATGGGTTCATATGTGAAGTTACTGTGGGTGGTTCTCCATGCATGGGTTCAAAGACTTTGAAATCTAAGGATCCAAAAGGAATTTGGGGAAAATGCAGATCGTGTCAGTTTGTCTTAATCTTAATTAAAATACCTTGGTTTGCATTTTTATAAAGTTGTGGGTTAGCGCTTTTCTCGCCAGCCTCGTGATTGAATACACCTGCCGCTCTGTTTCAGCCCTGAGGAGCTTTGCTCCGGGCCTGGAACACCTGTGTGGTCTTCCTGCGTCTGCAGCCAGAACAGGGACTCGGAGCAGTCCTGCTGGGCAGAACCAGATCGGCTTTAGAAGTGCTGTTACGTGGGGCCAGATCCTGATTTGCAGCTGCTGGTTGGTGGCCTTGTCAGTTGTATCACACAGTTCATTTGGAAAGAATGAAGTGAATGCTCAGTATATGCTCTCCTTGATCATTATTTCTTTGAGGCCATTCGCAAGGAAGCTGTTTGATTATGAGGGTTACAGCTTCCATAAACCGTGCAGCTGCGAATTCTCTGCAGAACGGCTGGGACGTTTCCCGTCGGGTGTCACTGGGTGGCTCCCAGAAGGGCACTTCTTCACCCACTTACTGAGCATCTGGGGGCAGAGCCCCGCTCTGGGCAGAGTTGGGGGGGGTCAGGGAAGTGCTGTGTTTGGTCTGGGCCCTCCCTGCGGGCTCTCCTGCACAGGGCAGAGCTGGGAATATGTGGGTGCGGTGTCAGGAATCAGAGGCCATGAGGATGAAGGTAGGAAGGAGGCAGGCAGCACCTTACGGAGTGCGGGGTGACCCAGAGCTTTTCCAGTACTCGTGAGCGGGTCCCCCCATGGCCTTGGGACAGATGACCCTTGTAGGCTGATGGCAGGACGTCCCTGCGTCCCTGATGTGAGTCTCCATGGGGCTCGGGATGGGTGCTCAGGGACCTGGCCTTCCTCAGAGTCAGCAGCAGGGAGGCAGGAGCCGTGGACCCATCTCCCTCTTCAGGCGAAGCCAGGGCCGGGTCTCACCCCTGCCCGCTCCCCCTCATCCCTGGTCCAGCCCTGTGGGTGTGGCTGCTGCAGCCTCTGTCCACGAGCTAGCGGCCAGAATGCGTCAGGCTGACTGGTGTGCGCCCTGGGAGGCATGGGCCCTGAGGAGAGGATGCAGCGCTCCCGCGGTGGGAGGTTGGGAAGGGCTTGGTCCTCACTGCAACTCGGAGCCATGATGGCTGAGGGAGGGGGCGCAGATGGGGGGCCTTGCTCACATACACAAGCCTGGAGCCCAGCAGCCTGGCCCCCCGTCTGCCTCCACCTGCAGCCCCAGGGCCGGTGTGCAGATGGGGTGTGAGGGCCTCTGTGGCTGCAGCAGCACTGACAAGGCCTCGGGGGATGCTCAGGGCAGGCACAGGGCTTTGGGATACTTGATATTTGGGAGGGGTCAGGCAGGATTAGTGAGAGTGACTGGGGTCCACTGGGACCCTGCTGGAGACGGACAGGGTCCGCAGTAGTGCCCTAAGCGGGGTGCCCCACAGGGTTGGGAAGAGGAGGCAGTGGGGGCAGCTAACCCGCTGCAGTCCCGAGAAGTCTGACAGGTTAGAAATCACAGTGTCGGAGAGCTGGTGTCCATCCACGTGTGCCCCACGTTGATGTGACCGTCACTCGTGGACGCACTGTTCTGCATGTTTGGGTTTCCTGGAGTGTGGCCTCCGCACCCTGGCCACACCTGACTCTGCTGGTCACAGGAGCTAGAAGTGTGTTTGGCCGCGTTTCCTAGTGGGGCTGTTGCCCAGGTGCCTAGAGGGATCTGTGAGTGAAGTCCTCTTTCAGACAGATTTCTGATGACGGGAGCATCTGAGAGGATGAAATGAGGAAAACAGGTCGTCTAATGAGATGTTAAACATTGCTTCCTTTCCTAAATGTACCCCC